CCCATCTGGAGCTGTCCCCCACAGCCTTGCAGACCTGGTGATTTTCTGGGTAGAATGAAGCCCAGCATCATTCATGGTGTCACGGCTCCTCCCTTAGATTTACAGACGAATGCTGCATGGAGCAGTGCCATGTCATTAGCTGTTCAACATTTAAGTTCCGCCCATTGCTGCAGGACAAAGAGGACCTGTGATGTCACCAGACCCAGCTGAAGACCTAGAAATAAGGCAAGTATAGCATTTTTCAAGGTAGAGGGAGTGCTTGGCTTTAAAGGTAGACTTTCCCAATTTAAAGTGGGAGTTTGTTTTGGGTGGCATTGCATTTATACTCTGCACTGGTTGTAATAAAGTGACAGGAGGAAGAGGAGCTTGGAAAAGTTCACCTCCTTCACCAGTTACAGCTGACTGTTACCTCTGCTAGGGGGTCACATTGATATCATTTCGTTCATGACGGACCAAGAATAAAAGTCTGATCAATGAACGATAGAAATCACCAGCACTCCATAAATGAAATTTAAAAAAAGTCCATTTATTTGGACTAAACGTCACACATATCGCATAATCCAACGTTTCGGGACCACGTTCTCATGAAGGGACCCTGCGTGGTCCCGAAACGTTGGATTATGCGATATGTGTGACGTTTAGTCCAAATAAATGGACTTTTTTTTTATTTCATTTACGGAGTGCTGGTGATTTCTATCGTTCATTGACTGTTGTCACGGCGCCATCCGTGATTGTCACTGCGAGCACCACTATTTTCACTTGGACCGGAAGCGCTGTATATAGTGCAGGGGGACCTACTGTTTTCTAAAAGTCTGATCAGACATTTGTTCTACTAATATTAGCAAAATCTGATATACTGTGTATAGTAGAAATGTCCTGAATAGAAAGGAGGGAGGACTTGGCGATACCCCGGTTCGCCCAAGCGCGCTCAAAACTCTGACTGCAACCCCCTCCTTCCAACCCCACCAGTTGCAGGGAGGAGCGTTCCTCACCTTGCTGCAGGGAATGCCCCCCCCCCCGCCCCCCGCCATCTCTAGTCCTGATGAAGGACGGACGGACCGGCAGTCTAATTACAAGTGATCTTGCAGACATTGCTGAGATTACTTGTAAAGAAACAAGTGGATTCCCTGCTCTACATTTAGCCCTGCTTGTGCAAAGCAGAGCTAAATTTAGAAAATAAATTACTGCCCAGGGCCCGGAACTCTATGTTTCGAGCGTCAGGTGACTTCAAACCTGTGCTGCCCCGAGGCCGGGCCACGGTGGTCTTGCCAGGAATCCGCCCTGCATATGCTGACAAATGTACTTTTCTTTCATCTTTCCCTGTCTCATTCCCAGTCCTTCACTGATATGGTTAACGGTTTGAATGTTTGACCTTGTATTTGCTCTGACCCCACGAAGAGGTTAATTGTATCACTTTGTACCTTTTGTAAAAACTCAATAAAAATTATTTGAAACAAACAAAATACAATATTTTTTTGCCTTTGCTGTTCATCCTTGGAAACCGTGTCTGTGTTATGTCATAACTGTCACCAAGACACAGAGAAACTGTCCAACCGTCTCATTCTGCGTAAACGGCAATATCGACCACATTTGGTTTTGCTGGTTTCCTCTTTTGCTCTTCGCCCTTAAACCGAAGTAAAAGTCCTTGTCACAAGTTCCTGTTATTTTGCTCTGAAGTTCCTCATTCTGGTGCCTCGGCTGGCGGCGGTTTACTGATATTGTCTGTTTGTGTCTTGCAGAAGGATTTCTCTGTTCGAGAAGAGCTGCACAAGTCAGATGTGGAGAGCTGGCTGGGTTTCATCACCTTCCTGTGCGAAGTGTTAGGCACCATGAGGAGCAGCGCGGGGGAGCCTTTCCGAGTCCTCGTGTGCCCCATCTACACCTGCCTTAGAGAGGTAATGGGCAAAATTTTATGCGGAGGTTATCAGGGCTTGATGGCCGTGCTTTACAGAGGGAGCCACACTGAGGTGGCCTCCTTTGCTTACATGACATTTAAGCAAAACCAGGAAATAATACAAAATAAAAAAGCTTTTGCTGCAATACTGGTCTTCAGTCTGCAGCTGTCCCCCACAATAAGTCCTTCACACCACTAGATGTCCTCAGTCTTCTGGGCTGAATGACTACTGGCATGGTTCAGCCCACTTCCTGTGAGCAAGGGCTGTCATGGACCCCTCTCCATGCATTATAGGCCATCTCACAAATACTGCTGCACCAAACAGTGTAAAGCTGGAGTTCCACTTGACCACACTGTTCCCCCTTACATCTGACAAAGAACAACTGTGATCTGAAAATCAGGATATCCGTGTGAAATCAGTGAACAACAAATCACAAAATACGAGGTGCTGGTAAAACTCAAGTCGATGGCTCATCATGTAACAAGTCTATAGATCCAAAAACAAAGCACATACCGGTACCATTCATGTTATCCCATTTTTAAGCATACACAGAAGAAGAAAAAAATGAGAAGAGAAATGAGGCCGGTAATCAGTGCTGAGGTAGCAAGCCTTGCATGCAGGAGATAGAGGGGAAGTGAAAACAACGGGCTCACCACTTCAAATTCAAGGGGCTACTGCAGTCTTGTAATGAAGATTCAGACGGTATAATGTTGGTTATGAGTCAGTTTTTTCGAAAATAGAAAAATGCATGCGTTTCGAGGAACTGCACCCACTTCATCAGGGCGACAGTGCAGCCATATAAATAAAAAGCCAAGTAACGACAATTATGCACGATTGTGTATGTATGTGTCTATGCATAGAAAGGTCCCCCTTTTGCCGCCAAAACAGCCCTGACCAGTCAAGGTATGGGCTCCACTAGACCTTTGAAGGTATACTGTGGTATCTGGCACCAAGCCGCCAGTAGCAGATCATTTAAGTCCTGTAAGTTGTGAGGTGATCGGCCTCCATGGATCGGACTTGTTTTTCCAGCACAATTTTGAGATCTTAAAATTTGGAGGTCAAATCAACACCTGTACAAACACCTGACCTTCCATACAATGTATAAGAAAATGTGACTCATCAGACCAGGTCACCCTCTTCCATTGCTCCGTGGTCCAGTTCTGATGCTCGCATGCCCATTGTAGGCACTTTTGGCAGTGGACACGGGTCAGCATGGCTACCATGATGGGTATGCAGCCCCATACACAACAAACTGCGATACACTGAGACACATTTCTATCAGAACCAGCATTCACTTTTTCAGCAATTTAAGCTATAGTAGCTCTTCTAGTTAATCAGACTACATGGATCAACCTTCGCTCCCTATGTGCATCAGTAAGCCTTAGCCACCCATGACCCTGTTGCCAGTTCACTAGTTTTCCTTCCTTGGACCACTTTTGGTCTTGACCATTGCAGACTGGGAACATCCCACAAGAGCTGCAGTTTTGGAGTTGCTCTGACCCAGCCGTCTAGACATCACAATTTGGCTCTTATCATAGTTGCTTAAATCCTTACACTTGTCCGTTTTTTCTTCTTCCAACACATCAACTTCAGGGACAAAATGTTCACTTGCTGCCTAATATATCCCCCCCCACACCTCCCCACACACAATGATTCGCATATTCCACCCGCTTTCAGGTGTCATTGTAATATATCCCACCCGCTTTCAGGTGTCATTGTAATATATCCCACCCGCTTTCAGGTACGCCTGCACACACAAACCTATAGTATGTATGTTGCGAATTGACTCTGGCACTACTTTTAATTAATTCAAAATCAACATTATGTCTTCAGAATCCTTGCTGTGAATATGTGAGGAGGAGGTAGTAACCTCTTCAATGTTAAATGGTGCACCGCCCAGGCTGTCCATTTCCGAGCCAGTAACAATTCACAAACCTGCTGCAAAATAGAAATGTCACACTGCCAGATTTCCAGGTATATTTGCAATTTTTAGATACATTCTCCGTAAGATCTGAACATGTCAGGATCAAAAGTATCTTGCTGTCCTCTGCAGATGCGCTGTGCCACTTACCCGAGGGCATGTAGTTTCTCTCTGGCACAGAATCGAAGGGTTGGCCCATTTCTAGAGATACAAGCTCACCAATGCTTTCTCTCACGTGCTTATCTCTCCGAAGCTTCTGTCTTGTCTCACACTGACCCCATCAGCTATCTGCTACTGGAAACTGATCAGATTCCTTTATTTCCATCTAAGGCTGCGTTCACACCTGACCGTTTTGTAGCGCGTCCTACGCTCGACGAACGCGCTACAAAACGGTCAAAAAAATAAATAGCATTGTAGTCAATGCCCTCGTTCCCACCTAGGTGTATTTCCGCCCGTCCCTAACGCCCTACAAAACGGCCCACGCCTGAAAAGGTCCCGGGACTACTTTGGGCCGTTTTGTAGGGCGTTTTCCATTGGGATACAGCCAAGCAGCCTTTGGAACCGCGCGACGGTTGCGCAACTTTTTACCGCGAATCGCGGCGGTTGCGCGACAGACGCGCTTTTGCAATACGCCTAGGTGTGAACCCAGCCCAAGGGTGACATGTCATGCACAGTCGTTTCCTTCAACTTTTGCAGCACATTATTTTCCTTCAAGCACCTACAGGTCATGCTTACTATGTTCCTTTTCGCCGTGAGATATAACACAAAGCTGCTATTTGGATACAGCACAATGCTTTGCAGAGAATGGGGTCGCTTCTTAGAGTAATGAAAATATAATCCCTTTCACACAGATTTATCAAAGTGACGCTGAACTCAGGAGTTAAATCTTAAAAATGCATTCAGGTACCTTAACTATGAATAGAAATGTCTCTTATTTGTGTATCACTCGGGTGTAGATCCTCCAATCATCTCTGGATTGGTGCTGACACTGTCCTTCCTTCTGGAGGGGGGCTACTTGTGTTCCCCATGGTCCCTGTGTGTGTTGTAGAGTAGTCACTGCTCCAAGCTCGCTCCCGGGATGGACTACAATCTCATGTTTAGTTTATTCATTTGTATTGAGATTGTAGTCCATCACAGGAATGATCTTTAGGTGGTGACTACTTTACAACACACACAGGGCCCTCCTTACCATCTTGTCTTGAATTGTATTGTGACTGTAATGTCTTCCTTATATTGTAAAGTGCTGCGCAAACTGTTGGCGCCATATAAATCCTGTATAATAATAACAAGTTTAGTGTCACATTAAAGCCAATATACACTCATTGGCCACTTTATTAAGGTACACCTTGCTAGTACCGGGTTGGACCCCCTTTATCCTTCAGAACTGCCTTTTGGACCATATTGACATGATAACATCACGGGCCCAAAGTGTGCCAAGAAAATATCCCCCACACCATTACAGCACCACCACCAGCCTGAACCGCTGATACAATGCAGGATGGATCCATGCTTTCATGTAGTTTACACCAAATTCTGACCCCGTTATCTAAATGTCGCAGCTAAAATGGAGACTCATCAGACCAGGCAACGTTTTTCCAATCTTCTATTGTCCAATTTTGGTGAGCCTGTGCGAATTGTAGCCTCCGTTTCCTGTTCTTAGCTGACATGAGTGGCACCCGGTGTGGTCTTCTGCTGCTGTAACCCATCTGATTCAAGGTTCGTGGTGTTGTGCGTTCAGAGATGGTATTCTGCATACCTCAGATGTAACGAGCGGTTATTGGAGTTACTGTTGCCTTTCTATCAACTCGCACCAGTCTGCCCATTCTCCCCTGACATCCAACAAGGCATTTTCACCCACACAACTGCCGCTCACTGGATATTTTCCCTTTTTTGGACCATTCTCTGTAATCCTGAGAGATGGTTGTGTGTGAAAATCCCAGCAGATCAGCAGTTGCTGAAATACTCAGACCAGCCCGTCTGGCACCAACAACCATGCCACGTTCAAAGTCACTTAAATCCCCTTTCTTCCACATTCCATTGGGTCTATTTGGAGATCACATATGTGGTTTATAACATGCGATTCATCGCTTTTTGCATTAGATCGAAACATGCCTTTGTTTGTGGCGCATCAATAAATGTTTAGTGAGATATTAGGAAATGTACATTTCACCACATGTGGGTTGTTTGTTGGTTCTTTCTGAGGGACACAGGTTTGCAGCCACTGGGGAAGTGGTAAAATAACCCAGATGTGGCCCTTGATTTGACGCAGATAACACTCTACTGCAAAATAAAATGAATTAGAGGTGCACCGAAATGGAAATTTGTAAACCGAAATAAAAAACAATTTCAAACCGAAACCAATACCGAAAATGTTTATTTTTATTTTTTCAAATGTTTTAAATATTTTATTTATTTTTTATAAACTTTTTATTTTTTTATAATCCCTGATATTTCCCTTTTAAAAAAGAAAAAGAGATTTAGGACACAAAGTCCTCAATCTCTCATTCTGTGTCCCTCCTTGTATGAGTGTTTCTGTTCATTCATAACATGAGGACATTGTGTGTTTACTATAACCACAATCATGAATGAACAGGAGGAGGTGCAGCTCACTTCCCATTCATTCATAATTGAGGATATAGTAACCATACTCTGTCCTCAATTATGTACAAACACTCAGCGATCACTGATCACCGACTGCTTGTACCCGTTCTCCAACCTGACAAGCTGTCACAGGAGGCTGATCGAGAGGAGAGCTCAGCCTCCTGTGACAGCGCTGTCTCCGCCCACACACCGCTCTGCCGGACTGCGATAGGAGGCTGAGAGGTGTGGGAGGAGAGACGCCGGCCGCTCACAGCGATCTCCTCCCGCAGCGCTCGGCCGGCTGTCACACTTTCTCTCTTCCCCGCTGGGATACAGAAAAGCGCCCAGCGGGGAGGAAAGAAAGCAGGGATGCGCCGCTGTATCGGCAGGAAAATGGCACTTTCGGCATTATGCCAAAAGTGCCATTTCCGGCCGATATGTTTCGGCGGCCGATATATTGGTGCATCCCTTAAATGAATACATGTAATGATTGCATTCTGTACATTAATTCCTATACTGACCAAGATGCTGAGCAAAAGCGGCTGTGACAATGGGGTTGGGTCAAACTATAAAACTGTGAGGGTGCTTACAACAGTCACCTTTTCTTTAAACCTTGTTTATAGAAAGAAAAAACAGTAGCTGCTGTACCTGCAAATGCTCCAGTACCCCGGCAGTGGTATGTCCCAACCCATCAGTGTCACTTTTGCTGGACAGTTTATCTTATGTGTAAAGGCAGAAGAAATGGAATTCGTATAGTGTGAATACTGTCATTTTTACGATAGTGGGCCTTTAAGGTACCAATAGGGTATGAGATGACAATTGCCCAATCTGGCTGTTTTGTACCAGACCAGCAGTCCCTATAATGAGTCATCCCACCCAGCTCCTTGCAACCAGTGAGGTCATTGAACTGGAGAGGTCTCTGGCCAGAGCCACAGGTACCATGCACTGCCAGCAGCCCCTGCCCTGGGGAAACGTGCACCACCACAACCCCACCCCCAGCCCTCAGGCAGCAAAAAGTGTTGGGATATCCCTACGCCGGACTTTGCAGCAGTGTCTATGCCTAGCCATACCCTGCATTCCACAGGCTGTTGCAGATGAGAACTGTTGGTCAGAGAGGTAAGAGAACTTTTTCTGGACTCTGTTGCTCCCTTATTGACAAGGTTGTGCCACAGCCCCTGTCTATTCAGAATAAGAGCTGGGCAGAGCGGATCTGAGGAGTCCATGGGGTGCTCTTCAATCTTTCTGCCTCAGGACTGTCAGATTGATCTCGCATAGCTGGCCACCCTGTAAAGTCTGTGGACGGATTGAAAGGATACATTTTTACTAGTTTTAGAAATATTAGAAGCCCTGTTGGGTTTTTATTAATGTTTTTGTTACTATCTTTGTCAACGTTGGGGATATCCGCCCTCTGTGTCCCGGGGACCACTGGAGACCGAAAGCGATAGGAAGTCCACATTTTTACATTTGTCACAGCGTGTGAAGGGAGATCCTCCAATTGGTACAGCTGTCCTAGTGGCAACTGTAATATGAAATTTCCTCTCCCTTTTCTCACTTCCTCTTGTGTCTCTGGGACAGGAAGTAAAAGAAAATCTCCCCAATGGGGCACAGACAGCAGAACAACAACAAACCTGCCTACAAACCTAATCAAATGTGTCAGTAGGCCCCCTCCCTAAGTCCATCTGGCCCAACCTGGGGGAAGGATCTGTTTGCTGAAAAAGCTTTCCTGGCCTTCTCCTGAGACAGCCAACACCTCAGTGGTTTCCCTCCTCTGCAGAGAAATGCAGATTCACCCATTTAGATCTGGCACGTTTATTTAAAGCAGAACTGCCGGCAGATATTAAAAAAAAAAGCTGATTATCATAGATGTATATTCATTAGTACATTGAAAATATAATAATTAAATGCAAGCAGTGTAAGTACCTGAAATCAGCATCTTGCAATCTCTGAACAGCAGGGCTCAGACTAAGAGAGAAGCAGCACAAAGAGCCTATCAGTTGTGCTGCAGTGCTTAAGTGCAAACAAGGTACATGCTAATAGGAGGAGAGAACAGAGTGATCAAGATGAGCTGATCAGTGTGCTGCTTCTTCTTCGTTGTCAAGTCTTGGGCTGGGAAACTTGTAGGTGTTGCTTAACTGCAGTAGAAAATAAACGCTGAGCCGCCATTTAGCCCTTTGACTGCACTCTGGATGAATAACTTTGTGTCACTTTTCTGTCTTCCCCAGCTGTTACAGTCCTACGACGTGAAGGAAGATGCAGTGCTGTGCTGTTCTATGGAGGTGAGCTGTAACCGCATTGTTGTCCTCTTCGCTGTGTATATTGTATTCACTGATATCACTGCAGATTGACACATTGTCATCTATACAGATTGTAGAGTACTTACTGTATACAAGTAGACTCCACACTGGAAACAAATCACCATTGCATTGCTATGTACAGTACATGTCTGCGGAAGTTGACCTTTGTTTAATCACCAATTATCCACCCCCATCTGGAGTCTCCCATTTCAGAGGGCTTGGTCTTCATTTCAGAATAGAGAGTTTCCATCATTAAAAAAAAAAAAAGATAAAACATTGGTATTGGTAGGACGCAGCCCTCATTCGCTTAGTATCATAATGTATGGATACCCAGATAGACATTAATAAAGGTGAGCAGATTATTTTGTAACTAGCATTGTTCCAAGGCAGATCAGTGGAATCAAATATGTTACAGGTAACAGTCCATTCCCCTGAGCAATCTACATTTCCAGCTTGTGGAGATCTCCTCTGTTGGGTTTCCTGAAAGGATATTGAGACAGTATAACTAGGGATGCACCGATATATCGGCCGCCGAAACTGGCACTTTTGGCTAAATGCCGAAAGTGCCATTTTCCTGCCGATCGGCGCATCACAGGTTTCTTTCCTCCCCGATGGGCGCTGCTCTGTGTCCCAGCGGCGAGGAGAGAAAGTGACAGCCGAGCGCTGCGGGAGGGGAGCGCTGTAAGCGGCCGGTGTCTCTCCTCCCACACTGCTCGGCCACCTATCGCAGTGTGGGGGCGGAAACAGCGCTGTTACAGGAGGCTGGGCTCTCGCACCGCTCGCTCAGCCTCCTGTGACAGCGTATGTCAGAGAGGAGAGCGGGTACAAGCAGTCAGGGATCAGTGATCGCTGAGTGTAGATAATTGAGGACCTGGTATGTGGACTATATTCTCAATTATGAATGAATAGGAAGTGATCTACATCCCCCTACTGTCTATTCATGATTGTGGTTATAGTAAACATACTCTGTCCTCATGTTATCAATGATCAGGAACACTCAGTATAGGGGATTCCTGTTATTATTATTATACAGGATAAATATAGCGCCAACAGTTTGCGCAGCGCTTTACAATATAAGGAAGACATTACGGTTACAATACAAGACAAGATGGTAAGGAGGGCCCTGCCCCTGAGGGCTTACAATCTAAAAGAGGAGGGGGAAGTGATACATGAGGAGGGAGCTGTGTGGGGATGAATTATTTGAGAATGTGAAGGTTCAGTGGTTAGGTCGAGGTGGGATAGGCTTCCCTGAAGAGATGAGTCTTTAGGGAAGGCAGTCAAGGTGGGAGATAGACGGACAGGTTGGGGTAAAGAGTTCCAGAGGATGGGAGAGACTCTAGAGAAGTCCTGAGGGCGAGTATGGGAGGAGTGGACAAGGGAGCTGGAAAGCAGGAGGTCAATGGATGAGCGGAGGGGACGGTTAGGGTAATACTTTGAGACAAGGTCTGCGATATATCCGGGGGCGGAGTTGTGGACGGCTTTATAAGTGACTGTTAATATTTTGAATTTTATCCTCTGGGTAATTGGAAGCCAGTGGAGGGATCAGCAGAGGGGGGATGCAGACACTGAGCGGTTGGTAAGGTGAATGAGTCTGGCAGCTGCATTCATGATAGACTGAAGGGGGGAGGAGCCTGTGTAGTGGAAGGCCAATGAGGAGGGAGTTACAATAGTCAAGACGAGAGATAACAAGGGAGTGGATGAGTAGTTTTGCGGTTTCTTCATGGATAATAGGGATACAGAAAAAGAGATTGAGCACTCTGTGTCTCTGAGCACTCTGTGTCTCTGAGGACTCTGTGTCCTCAATCTCTTTTTCTATTTTAAAAGGGAAATATCAGCGGTCTGTTTAGTCCCCTAATATTTCCCTGAAGCCCCTAAAAGTAAAGTAAAAAATACAAATATTTAATAAAAAAATTAAAAAGTTTATTAAAAAAATAAATAAAAATAAAAAATGTGAAAAAATTAAAACAAAAACAGTTTAGTTTTCGGCCTGATATTTTTTAAAATTTCGGTTTCATTTTGGTTTTTAAATTTTTATTTCGGTGCACCTCTAAGTATAGCCATACAGGTTATGGTGGGAAGGGACTAGAGGTTCTAAAAAGGCACAGTAAAGCCTTTTTAGAACAGAAAGCCTTCACATGTCTCATTCCATCACATATCCCAAAAATAAGAGGATTATTCCTAATTTCAGGACAGGACATGCAAATTAGTTCTTTAAGGAGATATACTCGCCTCCAGGACTTCTCCAGAGTGTCTCCCATCCTCTGGAATTCCTTACCCCAATCTGTCCGCCTATCTCCTATGCTGCCCACCTTTAGGCGATCCTTAAAAACCGATCTCATCTCACCATAACTGCCTTTTACTTCTTCCAATAACTCAATCTAAACAACGATTACCTTTTGTATCACTTCCCCCTCCTCTCACGAGCAGGGCCCTCCGAACCCTATTGTACTGAAATTGTATAGTAACTGTCGTGTCTCTCTCCTTTTTGTAAAGCGCTGCGCAAATTGTTGGCGCTATATAAATCCTGTATAATAATAATACACCCCAACAGCCAAATGCACATCCAGAACCGCTGGTTTATGGTGCAAAATAGTCTAATATTATACAGCCAATAATTCCAAACTGCATACAGCTGTTTCAGACTTTATGGCCATCATCAGTGCAGTATATGGAAACCACGGCGGCTTCTATGGGGTAGGGCTCGGGACCTGATGAGACAGTAAGACCGTACAGGTTATGGTGAGAAGGGACAAAAGGAATCAAAAAGCCTTCCAAACAACTCAGTAGAGTCTTCCTGGAACAGAAGATATCCACATGTCTCATTCCATCACATACCAATAATGGGGCATTAAAAAAAAGGTTTGAATGGCATTGCCCACTGTCCTGCCAAGATAAATAATCCTCTTATTTTTGGAATATGTGATATAATGAGACATGTGAATACCTTCTGTTCTAAGAAGGCTTTACTGAAGGATATCTAAAACCAAAAGGATTTGTTTACCAGTTATAGAATGGAAACACCTGTTCCGGTGACAAGTGTCTGAGACGATTTCCCTTCCCTTTGTATCTTTTACTCTCCCTTCCTGTTGTGCCCCCAGGGTATAAAATGAAGAGAAATCTCCTCTACAGCACAAGGACAGCACAAAATGCCTGGGTTGTAACCATTCCCAACTTGTGTACAGCTAGTTAATTCACAATTTCTCCTACCAAGCTGAAATAAAAACAATTATGGCAAACCAGCAGATGAAAAACATTTTAGTTAATTAACTAGTTGTGAACTCATGCACAAAAGAACTTCACGGGCATACACAGGGTATATGTAGTACGCACGGTCCTGCCGCTCCCTTTCTTCGTCCTTGCTGGGAATTCACAGCTGTCAAAATGACAGCCGGGATTTGCTATGTATTTTCAGAAGGTAATACAGCAGCCGCTGCCAAAAATCAGAGGGGGATTTATCAAAACTGGAGCAGCTGTGCATGGAAACCAATCAGCTTCTCTCTTAAGGTGCCCATACACCTTACGATTATCGGCCGATTTTCGTATGCGATCGCGTTTTTGTCCGATATTCGTAAGAACGATGGTCAGTGTACAACCGCAGATACTGTACAATCGATCGACTTTTGACTATCCAGCAAGTTAGAAAACTTCGGTCGAACGTACGATTTTCGCAAGGTTGGTGGCGTTTCTGTACGTCAAAAAACACTGCTCGTGCGCAAACGAAAATACGTGCGGTTGATTACCTCAATTCGTCCCGGTGATTTTGTTATCTAAAGCTGATCCAACCTTGCGATAATCGGGGCAGGATGGGGCGGTCGTACGATTTTCGTCCGATGATCGCAAGGTGTATGGGCAGCTTAACATTTTTAAAGTTTAACTGATTAAACTGAAGAGAGAAGATAATTGGTTACTATAGCTGCTCCAGATTCTGTCTGCTCCAGTTTTGGTAAATACCCCCCCCCCCTGACAGTGTTTTGAAACACAAGCCAGAGAGATACAAAATAACATTGTTACTTTTGTATTTACTCTGTTCCTTTCATCTCCAGATCAAAGGGATACGCTTCAATCCGCATGTGATGTCAGTTAAAGCAACTTGATGAGAAAAAAAAAATCTAAATGTAATAAAATTTGGTCCTATATAACGTTTTAGTAACCCATACTATACCCTAATCAGCTCTAATTAACCCCTTCTTTCCCTTTCTCTCCATGATTTTGCTGAAGATTTGTTTTGTTACTGTTCTTTAATTCTGTGCTTCTAACTATTAATATTTCAACTTTATTTGGTTTGTTCATTTTTATAGTGTCACATAAAAATGTGCAAAATTGAAAAAAAAATATTTAAAACATTTGCTATTGGTGGTGCGATGGAATCCTCTATGTGGGTCAAGCTCTGGGGTCTCTGCTCATCCTCTCCCACCGCTCCATTGTGTCACCCTGTAATCTGCCCAATTCTGCCAATAGGTACACGCACCACATTGTGCATTGAGCACTTGCATAAAGATTTGCCAACCAGTTGCACATCTGTGTGCAGGGAAAGTTGCTTCTGATTATCTGGATAAGGCCCTTTCCTGTTCTACTGATGGTACCAAGTGACCGTTCCTTTTGTCACATCGCTTGCAAGTGTCAAGCCTTGTATAAAGGTGTCCATACATGAAGGATTCTGGTCATTATGTAAGGAATGATGAGACCCTCATCCTGATATTAGTGCATGGGCTTATCAATAAACCCAATGAGCACCTTAAAGTTTATACAAGCTCATCAATTCATAAGCTTATATCATATTCTGTAAACTTTGTGCCAAAGGATACTTGTGGAGAAACTGCCAAATACTGTAAAATCGGGTCACATGACCACATAGGCTCCCTTCTCAACACTCATTCCTAGTATGGGGGAAAAAAAGCATGGTTGCATTGCAGAGCTCCAGTGCTCGCTAATTAGAGATGAGGCTGGACTTTCTCCCGACCCAATCTATTTTGGCAGGGGCGTTCCCCATCCCTTTGCGACTTATAGCTATGGGGCAGGAAATGTGCCTCCCTGCAGCTGATTGGGCCGGGAGGAGGGGGTGGCGGTCAGAGTTTTGAGCGGGCTGGGGCGAACTGAGTTGGCACCAAGCCCAGCCTCATCACTACTCGGTAACAATGTGTCTCATGCGCTCAGGGAACTGACATTCAGAACTAACCGGTTAGCAGCTAGTTCTGAAATCTGATTCTTCCGGTCAGTCACGATCACATGAGCAGTACCTAGGCATCTGGCCACATGATCAGTAATCCAGAGCAGGTTGGGCAAGCAAAAAAATCAAATGAATATTTTAAGCAGGAAGGATTGGGTGGATTTAATTTGAGTATAGATCTGCGTTATAGTAGATGTCAACCCAATCACTGAAATCTCATATAAGCTTTAATATGTTTAATGTCATTTTAAAAGTAAATCTATGACTTTAAAATAGTCCTTGGCAATCCCGCTATGAAGATTGTTGAAGGGTGACCTTGCTCTGTCTCGGTCACCTACATTGTCGCCCTGTCACACACAGGCTTCCGATGGAGACTACTTGTGGCCATTCCAATACACATTAGGCAGACATGGTCCACTATTGTCACCGTCAGGAAGCCCGCCCTGAGAAATGCCATGCAGCCATCGCTGGAGACCGGAAGTGGCTGCAAGAAATCTAAAATGTAAGGGAGGACGAAAGCAAAGCTAAAGCAGTATTTTATTAAAAAATGGCTGTTGTTAGCGAAGTGCCATTTAGTTCGGGTTTGCATCTGCTTGAAGTGCCCCTAAGTATTGACTGAATTTAGAGTCAGTGACTGCCTACACCTGTGACAGAGGGTCCATCATTGTCTTTGTCATATAGCTAACACTTAAGGCAATTATCTCTGTTGGTGTGTCTCTGGTGTGCGTCTGGCATTCATGGGCTGGAGACACAGGCTAGCCAACTTCTGGGCAAAGGGTCTTTTGGGGTCTTTTGGGGTTTTCTGTTTAACATGCAACCTTTAATCTCTTCTCTGCCAACAGCTGCACAGTACCGGCCGCCTGCTGGAAGAACAGCTGCCAGAAATGATGTCCGACCTCCTGGCCATCGTGCGGGACAAGATGCTGTCTCCTTCAGAGTCCATGTTGACACGGTCCCTATTGCTGGAGGTCATCGAGTTGCACGCCAACAATTGGAACCCACTGATGCCAAGCATCACGCAGTACTACAACAAGACCATACAGAAACTCACAGGATTTTACTACAAAATAACACCCCCCTCCCCCTTCTCCGTCATTGCATATTGTATAAGCCTCGGCACACGCACCAGAACGCGGTCACTGTAGGTGCCATGGATATGTATGTTGAATGGCAAATGCCTGCTATTGTTTACACACAATGAGAGGGCTTGCACTGGGCAGTTGGCGGGAAGGCATTTTGTTATTATGATTTTATTTTAGGGAGATGTCTCAGGTGGAGAGAGGTATACACATGTATTCACCAATTACCACCATCGTAACCAGGCGCATTTACAGCCTTGGCTCGCGGCGTTCGATGCCATTGTAGGATTGGCGTTGGGCGACTCCTGGGCCTGCGGCTGATCGAGTCTCATGGTGCGTTGCACAGACCGACGGCCATAGTAGGGAGGGTACAGGGCCCCCAGCCTTAAAGTTAGGACATTGCACGGGTTGAGTTTAATTTGCACTCTTTATAGTTCCGCCGATTTTTTGCTTTTAATAGCCACCAACATTGGACTAGTTTGACTGTTGCCATATAGTATAGGGAGTATTCCAGGCAGGTGAAAAACAAACTCCGTCTAGTATGTGTATATATATATATATATAGTCAATGAAAACTGCAAAAGTTACTGTGCTATGTGTAATGATCTCTGATCGGAAACGTCATCATCCTTTATACATACACCTGCTGAAATTCCAGACCATTAGGTGCATCTGCGCAGGCCGGCTTGCAATGAGCACCGGCATGAGCATCACAGGTTCCAATGTGGAGTCTCTATGGACGTTCCTGAGAGATTTGTGTTTACACACAGAGGAAAGTAATTGCAGATTCAGGAAGTGTTGTCACACTTCATACAATAAAAAGCCGATATTTTTACAGACAGGTATTTTGGACTTTTTGTTGTTTTGGTTAGCAGTGAGGACATTGAAAGTAAAAACTACCATTTCTCATGGCCTGGAGGCCTCCCTGGCAATCCGCAATGCAATACGTAGTCTCTGTTCTTGTATGCAAAAGGTTTGAACGGCAGGTCCTGTTGCTTTCTCATCTGACTAGGAAAATATGATAAATCATTGGAAATAAACCGTCGTTTATTGGGAAGTGACTTTGGAGCTCTTGTGAGGCTTTTGAAGCCTCTAGGGCAGTAAATACATCTCTTTTGTGGGGTTTTTTAAAGCTGAACACCAGGCAGATGAGAAAAAAGACACAATTGATTGCAGCTCTGTAATCATTAATACATTGGTTAATGTGTTTTTTAATGCAAGCGTTGTAAATACTTGAATATGGCTTGCTATCGGCCTCTTGCAGTCCACTGTACAGCAGAGCTCAGATTGGGGGAGGGAGAAGCAGCAAAAGGAGCCAATCATTTGTGTAAAGAGCATACTAATAGAAGGTGAGAGCAGAGTGAAGGATAGATGAGCTAATCATTGTGCTGCTTCTCTTTTCACTATCCAGTCACAGACTGAAGGAGAAACAAAACCTGTACTGTTACTTAACTGCAGCATAAAAAAAATCAGGTCTCCTGCCCTGCCTGACAGGGCTGTGCTGTGTGGCAGGGCTGTGTAGATTTGCTGTGTAGATCTTAGTACTGGATGGACACAAATACAAATCCATGGGCAGTTAAAGTAGCTCCCATATATGTTTTCCGTAGCTAGCCATTTGCCTGGAGGTCAGCATTAATCACTTGGCGATATAACATTGCGTGCAGGCAACTTAAACTCATTGATGATGCACCTTCATCAAATTACGCACAAGTATTTAAGCTACCTGACTTGCGTATCCTCTTTGTCATTGTCTCCCCAAAGTGTAGCAAGGGGAGTCATTGGTGGAACGCATGCTTGCTGTTGGATTAATGTAGGATATATCCTGGATAGCCTTGTGGAAGACTATGCTCCCTCTGTGGTTGGCTGAATCCCCAGGGTGTTGGCTACTAGCATCAGGCAATAGGGGTTGCATGGTGATTACACTAGCATGCTGGTAGGGTCTGCCTCTGTGGTACCAGGGTCCCTTTGGAGAGAATGATGTACCCATTCACCTCTTGGAGCAGCCATTGACATGAGATGACAGGACAAGAGTCAGGTGTAGGAGGAAACAAAGAGGTTGGAAAACCTGCTCTGAGAAGGAACGTTTCTCCCCTGAGATGCAGAAAGCGGTTGCAGTTAGTGATCAGCCCCGCTCATCTCTTCCATTTTACTCTCCTGCGTTCACATACACCGGGAATGTTCTGCTCTGTAGAAGACCCTTGTTGAAGGACCTGCAGGCCATTCCCGCTTTTCCAGGTGAACTATATCCGTTACAAAGGATTTAGAACACCTTTTGCAGATTTTGTTCTGTAGATATTGTCAACCTTGCCTGCACTTCTAAGGATGTGAGGGTCCGCCTACCCAGTAGTCATACAGCCAGGCCCAGTAATGCAGAACTACAGCCTCAGCATCCCCTTTGTGCTGGCCAGTGTCTTAGAAAGTATCTCACCAAAGACAAAACTCTTTGCTGGGTATGTTTTGTAATTTGACTTCAATGCCAATGCAAACTTCTGCAACTATGTAAACTGGGGAGAGGGAGGATTTTGGGGCATTGTGTACACATGTAGCGTACTGCTGCCATTGAGGTAAGGAAGAGAAGTTAGATATTTTGTTCGCAGTTTTAGGAGATCTTAGCTGGCTATGGATTGAAATGGGAAGAAAATTTTGTAATTTTATTGAATATAGAATAGCTTGTGTAGCAATTATATGTGTTGTATTTTATTTTACAGTGAGAGGAGTTTCCTTTGAAGCCTTGAGCAGGCACACAGTGTTTAGATTCTTCACTGGTTTAAATAAAGTGCGGCATGGGGTTGGTGGTGTAGCGATGCTGAAGAATGCCAGGTCACATCTCCGCTTCCTGAAGGCCAGTCAGGAAATGATGTCACCACTGCGCCGTTTCCTTATTTACTTTCTCTATTGATCGTTGACTTAGTAAATCATGCCTGATGCTTATTAAACGTTGAATTCCAAAGACGAGAGGGGAAAGGCAGGGTGGCTTCCTGTCCTCTGCTCATCCTGAACTTTCTGGGAGTAGAAGGAAGTTTGGTTTGACGTCCCAAGTCCCCCATCAAAGAGCATCAGGATAAGTGGCCCACATTCTTAGGCCCAGCATTAATGTTTTAAGAATTTACTTTTGTCTTGGCGACCGCAGCCAAAAGTTCTACTTTGAAGGATGTTTCTTATAGAGCAGTTGCTTATAAAGTTTCTAAAAACAGTGAAGGACGATTAACAAGTGTATGAAATGTGGACATGGACGACTAGTTCAGTCATCTGGGCCGATGATTTGCTTATCTGTGCAAGAATTACATGTTACTAAGACCTCCGCAATCACCTTCTCCAACACAGCTGACCTACAGATCTGACACATAGAGTTATTTATTGGTGTAGCAGTTCTGAGGCAAACAAATGCCCATTGACAGGCCCTGGGTGATGACGTTTGAAGATACCCAACAATTAATCAAATGATCACCTTCTTCCCATGCCGGTCCTTGCAATGTCCAGCTTCATTGAAAAAGCCTGATCTGAGAAACTTTCATTCTGATGGGCTCTTCCCATCCAAGGCTCTGGGGAGTGATTTGCTTTGTTGAGGACCATAAATGCTCTTGTGCACTTTGATTATTGTTCACGGTATATACTACATCTTTTTTATATCAGCTGATGTTGCCCCATTGGGTTGTTGTTCATTCAGCCTTTCCAATACTCTGACTGATGGCTTGGAAAGTTCTGATTGTCTACAAGCCAAACGTGTGGTGTATGGTACAACCGATCAGTTCTAAGACTATCACTTTCAGGGCAGGTTCACACCATTTTCCGGACCAAATCTGAGACATGCAGCATTTGTATGGTCTGGAACGGACTGCGCTGGTGTGAACAGAGGCCAGAAATAGCACAGGGATACAATAGATGCATTTTGGGTCCGGAAACAATCTGGTCTGGAGATAATCTGGATGTGGTGTGAATGGGCCCTTAATTTTGTTTTATTCCAGTAGTCCTTTGGCATTGAAGGTGAACAGTTACGTACAGCTGAGTTTACCCTTTGTGTTGCACTCAGCGATTGTTTTGACCAGTTCGAATGGACGGTTTTATTTGCTTGGAGCTGTGATGTGTAAAGTAGGGTAACCAATCAGAAATCACATTTGTGTGTGATTGGCTACTATGAGTCGCTGCACTTCAGTGATCTTTTTGTTTTGTTAAAAAAAAAAAAAGAAGCCTAGATAAAAGAACAACTTTCTAGGGATAAACCCACTATGTATATATATATTTTTTTTTTTTTTTCTGGGTTTAGTTGTGGTTTTCACATAAAAGATTCTGCCGAAATTAGAAGCAGGTGTAATCTCGCAGTGTGCTGTGCCAGTAGGTAGGATGTAGTTTACTGGTAGTTGTAACGTTGCTGCCAACTGCGAACCTACTGGGGTTTCCATAGTACATATAACTAGTGACTGTTCTGGTAATACATCATACAGAACATCGAACTGGAATGTGCTGTAGACTGTATTGGTTGGCAGAGGAGTGTTATTGTAATATGTATGTTACTGAAGCCTACTGAGTCTGGCAGGGCTCACTAGGAGTGTAAAATGTTAGGTGTATGTGCTCTCTCCGTTCCCGGAATTTATGGTACAGCAGAGTCTAGACTGATATATTGCCTTTTTCTGTTGATACTTCAGAGAGGGCAGATCGGTTCTTTTTGAACGGCATTTGTCTGTTGTCCTTTGAAATATTAAGGCATTGTCAGCCATGAATTGAGTATGGTCCTAAAGAGACTGAATCAATACTCCTATTAGATTGAATCAATGGTTGTCTTATCCTGCTCATGAGCTCTATGTGACAGTAGCTTTGCCCCTCTTGAGATGCTGAATCACTAATAGTCCCTGTTCTGTCACATGCTTTGAAAAGGAACTAATCTGCTTACCCCATACAGGTCATGTGGACCCTTGTTGGGTTCCTCTAAGGAATTTGAGTCACCAGTGGTTAGGTTCTGCCATAGGGTATGAAGTGACGGTGGTGAGCTTTCTCCAAGGAGGTTGCGACGGCCCTCATTCAACTTCTTTAAGGATTTTTGGGTTGGCACTAGTTGATTTCTCTAAAGAATTATATAAGACTATGGTCGTGTTTCATCAGGAAAGTAAATCACCATCAGTAGTCTGTTTCATGTAAGCTGACCAAGATAGTTGGGCTCTTTAAATGAGATAGAATTTCAGTTAATGACCTTTCTCCCAAGTGAGAGAATCAATAAAGGTCTCATGTGGAGTGGATGGTAGTGTCCTTCCTGTGAAGATAAATTTGCAGTGTCCCCCCTTGAGTTTGAGGAAATCAAGGTGGGGCATGGAAGGACAATGCTACCTAGAACATTTTGGATTGATTGATCTTTTACAGGGTCTATAATTTTGCATTTGAAAATGTTGGGATCATATTCATGTACACGATGTATAAAAAAAAATCCAGGTGATGTTTGATTCCCCTTTGAGGCCATTTATTGCCTGTGTTGACTCCCATCTCATTCTGCTGCCAGGTATTAGGCTACAGAGCCAAATTCGAAAGATGATTTGTCTTTTCATGTGGATTTAACCTTTCAGATGATATCTGTAAAACATTCATCTTGTGTTCTTCATTGTCTGCGTTATGTCGGAACTGTAAAAGTTGTGCCCAAGAAAGGGAAAGCAGAGGGCAATGGACTAGTTGCCAGTATTGCCTGTAGACTTCCCGCAGCTGATCAGTTTCCCATTACTGACTTGCCATGTCTTGATCTTCACTGTGTTTCTGCGTGGAAGCGGCCATCTTGGTAGAAGAGCAGGACTTTAATTCCTCATGTCAGAGCTGCCCCCCTGATGATTGATAATCTGATGACTGGTGGGGAAATAATGAAGAAGCAAAAGGAGATGTAGAAAAGCACAGATCCACTGAATTAATAAAGACGCAGGGAGATCCATGCACTGCAGGCCCTGAGATACAGCTTCCCCTCTAGAAAGGAGAACAGTGAGCTTCACAGTATTGACATCACCAAATCTTACTCTAAAATTTCACAAGACTACCAGACAGAGTACTGAAAGATACACTTTAATTTGGCCAGTGGGGGCAACTACTGTGTGCACTCCTGCCCTGCAGGCTCAACCAGCCACCAGCTGTTAGTGAAAGCGATTACATAGGTTAGTAGACTTTATCTGATCAACTTTTTTTCCCCCCAATAAGCCAACATTGGTAGGTGTTGGTGAGAACCTTTCCCAACTCTTAGCATGGCATAAAGTGAAATAGTCATCCAAGTTGCCTCTTTATGTGACAGATGAGCCGTGCAGGAGCCTGAGGGTGAGCAGTTTCTGCCTGTATGTCCAGCCCCTGTTTTTGGTCTGTGAGTCCGTTAAAATACTGTTCTCATTTCCAATGTTCGGTTATGAAAGAATCTAGATACTACAAGCAACCAGAATAGTTTTTCCTTTGCCCATTTTTTGTGTGACCGTATAAACGTCATCTTTATCGTTCCTCTTTTAGTGTCTCATTGAATTAAAGATGATCACACATCTGAAATGAGCTCCTGTGGTGCTCCCACCTATTCTAAGGCATAGATGACAAGATGTTTCCGTTGTGTGGGAATCCATGTGTTTGTTGTGTCTTCAGAAACATTTCCATTGAGATGGTATCTATAAATTATTCAGCCTGGTACTTTCTTCGGAAGAAAATTACCTGGAAATCATTAAAACCGCCGCATTTTACAGCGAGATCGTGTCCCCTATAGCCGCTCATGGCTACTCAGCAAGAACTGTTTATGAAATATTCAGCTCCAGCGCGTGCTGCTGAAGGCATTGTGAGGGCAATAAACGCTTAACCCTACATATTATGTCCATCTATGTAGAGATGTTTATATGGCCTGACAGGCATTGGTGTGCCGTGGGTTGTTTGGCCATAAAGTGTGTGTTTTCTTAAATTGCCCATAAAGATTAGGCCCTTAGAGAGACAGATTACAGCAATCTGTAATCTGATGTTCTGATGGCTCTACAGAACAATCGTTGCCAAACAGATCGGGAGAGCTGAGCCCATGCCAACAACTATGATGAAGGCTTTATCTGTGGGGAACAGTAACAATCAGAAGGGCAAATCAACCTTAGTCAATCAGTTCATCATTCAACTACCATCTTCTGTGTCTGTAGACAATCTCTCTGCAGGGACCAACACACCCCCCCCCCCCCCCCCACCCCCCCTGGCGGGGCCCACCCCCCCCCCCCCCCCCCTGCTCAGTCAGATCCAGAGCCCTCCAATCAGCAGGGAGTGTAAGCTTTCCTGGTTGCAAAGCTGAGTTGATGGTAGTTGAAGCTATGGGCGCCTTACAAGCAGTCTTTACCAGGAAGAATACATAACATATGTTGCTGACACTCCAAAAAATGCTACATGCATGGCTATATCTAGCATTAAAACATTGTTTCGCTAGCCCAGAACGCATGTGCAATAAGTCAAGTCAAAGCCATTGGATCAGCATGACACAAGGAAATTAGCATTTTCAAAATGAGAGGTCAACAGTGGCAGCATCCATGTACATGTCGGCATAGCTTTTTCTTTTAATGATCTGGTTATTCAGGCGTTGTGCAAGAACTCAACAACAGGATAGCTCTAGGAGATTGCAGGAAGGACTCAACATTAGATCTTCGGAGTAAACATTACTTGATGGAAGACAGGTACCTGGCAATGTCCTGTGGACACTTGATAAGAAGTGCTCAGACAAAGCTTGAGAGCCTTCATAGGGCATGGCTACAGCTGGAGAATGGCACCAGCTCGCCAGGCAGGCAGGTAATGAGAAGGCAAGCCAAGGTTAGCAATCACCAAATGATATATTTAGGGTAACACATGCAAAGCCAACAAGAGTCTTGTTGGGTCAACAAGCCCATAACACAAACTAGACTGGCAGTCCAAAGGCAAATGGAAGAGAGCATCTAGATAGAACAAGACAGTATCACTGCTTCCTTCTCTCTGCCCGCTTCCCCATTGTACACATTGATCAGTGAGCAACCACAGAGCCATAGGCGCATCACTGAAAATGGGGATATTCCGTATTCATGCATAGTCTGGGAATTTGGTTCTGCTGATGACCTACTCTTTTGGTTTGTATATTACATACTACTCCCATATTCTTCCTCCTACAGCAGCACAAACCATTTTTCATGAAAGGATTTAGGAGATACCAGTCGAAAGAATTAAAATTACAGAATTGCTTTATGCCTGTGAATGCAAAGAACAGGACTACTTCTCCATCATGGCCTCCAGCCAGTGGAGTACAGTATAACACATGTGTTACTTATGCCTTTATGATAATTGGCTGCCACATGAAGGTTTTTATTTTTGAAGGCATAGTTTCAGTTTGGGCTTCGCTTCAGTCAGAATGTGATCCCAAACCCATAAATTCCTGTTGTAGTGTTTGTCTTTGTTTAATGTATATTTATGTCTTATACTGTGCCAGTAACACTATGAAGCAACTTCTGGATTGTTTGGTCAATGTTTTTATACAATATTATAGATTTTCGTTGTTTGCGGCAATGTGCAGGAATGACCCAGCCAAAACACTACAACACGGTCCCAAAATGTCGTGATGAAAGGGCTGCGTTCTGCCGGATTAGGGTATTGTCCAAGCACAGGCTAATATTCTTAAAGCCCAGTAAAAGGGTTCCGTACATTCCAGGTGCATCAAAACAAAAGCTGTGCAAAGACTTTGTTTTATTTAAAAAGCAGCCACAGCCCGAGTAGAAAAGCCGCTCCCCTGCCAGCATGCTGCAGAGAAGGACCCTTGCTTTCTGTGTGGAAGCCGCGCTCTCTCTGCAGGGACCAACACACCCCCAGAACCCCCCTCGCTCAGTCAGATCCAGACCCCTCCAATCAGCAAAGAAGTGTAAGCTTTGCTGGTTGCAAAACTAAAGGTCTGACTCTGAGAGTAAGAGTCGTCATGCTGGCAGGGGACAGGCTTTTCTACTCGGGCTGTGGCTTCTTTCTAAATAAAACAAACTTTAAGAATTTAAACATTTGTTTCAATCCAACAGAATGTATTTAGCTGATTTAAACTAAAGTTTTTTTAGTTGGGCTTTCACTACTTTTAATGTAGTCCTTGTTCACTTAAACGTTTTAGGTATAGTTCATTCTATGTGCGTCTGTAATGATCTCTGTTACACGCATTGAACTGGACACAGTATCAGAGGTGCAGCAAGCGACACTTTTTGTAACACAGTCTACCTAAAATACGCAAACGTGAATGGGATGTTAGGCTACCAAAAGCCATAAGCCACCAGACTAGTGGGCAATCGCTCGAGATTCATGTCTCAATGAAAATGATGCTTCCCAGTGAGGAGATTCCTAAGACTAATGGACAAGCAAAATGAATATTTCTTATATCTGAACTCCAGTCAAAGATCTAAACGCACAGTTGAAATACATTTCCTCAAACTGTTTTTTAGGGGTGGGGTGGTTTTGCCAAAACTTTTACCACGTTAGTCATTCACACACCCCATTAAGACAGCATAGGGTGGGTACCACGCCTGTGACAGTTCACAGAAAGTCGCCCCCCTGCCCCAGCCTGCTGTAAATGGGCAATAAAGCAGCCAGGGCCGGATTAAGAGCATCATGGGCCTGGTGCTGTCGGACGGGAAGCAGCAGAGAAGGCCCCAGCTTTTTTATTAGTGGTCCAGTCTGCGATCTGAATTTAAACTGCAATGTTGACATTTGCAGAGCAGCGTGCACTACAGTTCTTGGCCTTTGCAGAGCAGCGTGCACTACAGTTCTTGGCCTTTGCAGAGCAGCGTGCACTACAGTTCTTGGCCTTTGCAGAGCAGCGTGCACTACAGTTCTTGGCATTTGCAGAGCAGCGTGCACTACAGTTCTTGGCATTTGCAGAGCAGCGTGCACTACAGTGCTTGGCATTGGCGGTCTGTAGGACGGTAATATGTACTGAATACTGTAGAGATGAGTCGGGTCCATGTAGTCTGCAGACTTCTTTACTGGTGTCCAACCCCTGAACACACACAGGGACAATCAGATGAGGGTGGACCACATGGAAGCAAATCTAGGACCTTAAGAGGGAGAAATATTGGTTGTGATGGGCTTCTTACTTCTGTTATGTTGTTGCATTATGGCCGGCATTTATTTTAGTGAAATCTAAATCATTTTCCTTGTTTGCTTTTTTGAATGATATTCCTGTGACTGAGAACTCTTGTGGATTAAAGTGTATGTCCTAGCATCTGGTACACTTTACAATACATGCACATTTACCCATGTTTTATCCCAAGAAGAGAAAAATCCCCATGGATCTGTGATAAATCCAGTCGGCTCCTAAGTTCCTGTTTTTGCTGACCACAGCCTTTGCATGAATTTCACAAGGGAATAATAAAAGCTGTTTCTCACTACACGAGCAAGATACAAGAAACAGTGAATGCAGGGATATGATCTATAGGAATTTGGTCAATGCCTGGATACTCACTCTAAGAATCACTCTCAGGGCAGGTTCACACCATTTTCCGGACCAGATCTGGTCCGGAAAATGGTGTGAACCTGCCTGCAGTTCCAGTGCATTCCAGACCAGACAAAATGAGACATGCAGTATTTGTTTGAGGAATGGACTGAACTGGTGTGAACAGAGACCAGAAATAGCATAGGGATACATTGGGATGCATTTTGGTTCCGGAAGCAGCCTGGTCTGGTCTGGAGGTAATCTGGATGTGGTGTGAATGGGCCTTTAATCTCCTAACGAGAAACCAAAATGTGTCAAACACTTCAGGTCTAAATGTTGGATCATGGCAGTAAAATGTAGCAGAATTTCCAATACACCTTTGACCGAGAAGTACTATAGCTCGTCTTCATTTACACATGACCAGACAATTACCCCATTTACTGCAAAACCACTGTATAGGCGGAGCTGTGCATCATCCTGCCGAGTACGCCAGTTGGTAAATCCCATTCGTTTACACCGGCTGTTGATTGGGGAAATTGCTCCAAGAGGTTGTTGTTTTTTTTTATACACATATTAATTTATGACCATTGTGAATCCATCGTTTCCCATCACTTGTTACCCAAACCCACCAGAATTCTCCTAAATAACGGTAACAATTTTATCTTTTTAGATGCAAATTGTATCTGTGGTGAGCTCCAGACTGAATACTCTGGTATTTGAGACACAATTGTGGCATTTTTACTAAATCTCTAAACTGCAACACTGCCAGAATGCCTAAGAAGAAGAATTCTGTGTATGTCAAGGTAAAACTTCGAACGTGCGCGGTCTAGTGACCATTGTCACCAGAACAAGAGGTAAGGGGAAAGCTTCCCCAATGGGCAGAGCTGTCACTGGGGGGGGTCTCCTGTATTAGAGGGTAGGGGAGACATTCTGGGGGTGATTTACTAACCTAAACACACACACACACACCAGGTGTGTGTGATTTTCACACAGCAAAACGTATTTATCAACCAAAAAGTCTCTAAAAGCATATTTCCACTAATGCCATATATGGAAAAATCATGCACATGATGCATATATAATGCTGCTTCACAGTTTAGACAAAAATGGTTAGCTCATGCATTTACATTCCTGCATTCATCAACGCAAGCAACACAACATAGAGCTAATTTACCCAACATCACCTTGGAATTCATTCAGGGCTTTTGCACAACACACCTGCTGGGTGTGTACACATTACAAAGGTGTTTAGATTCCACCCATAGATCATGCTGGGAGGGAACACACTGCAGAGGTGTATACACATTCGTGGTGTGTTTATAAGGTTAGTAAATCAACCCCTCTATGTCTTTCTGACACCAGCCCTAGTGACGCCTCTGCCTATGGGGGACACCTTTTCTGGTGACAACTCTCTAAGAGGGGAATTCCCCTCACCTTGGAGGAATTTCTTCTCTTTTTTCTCCAGGACAGGAAGTGAAGGAAAGTCTCAACAAGACGCAAACTGCAAAAAATAAACTGACTAGGTCTAACCCTTCCCTACTCTGTCCAGAAGTAAAAATAGTTTTGGCTGTACATACACTTTAAAGCAGTGGTGGGCAACTCCGGCACTCCAGCTGTGCTTTGACTACAAATCCCAAAATGCTTCTGAGAGTCACACCTGTAAATGTCAGTCTTCTAAAGCCTCGTGGGAGGGCCGGAGTTGCCCACCCCTGCCTGTGTGGATACCTGTGCAGAGAGAAGTTCAGTGACTGCCATGGCTAACATTCAAATACTAGTTGCCTGGCTTCAATTTCAGCTCATTTAGCTGGGACTCTCGTGTAGTAAGTGATGTCGGAGGCGTCGTCCCCGGCCAATGACCCTGAAAGTTTTCAAGCCACTGAATCATCTTGAAAGCCAAGAAGCCATCCTTTTCAGATGGAGGTCACCCATGGTTGCCATATTCTTCTCAGCATAGCTTTCCTTTAAAGAAACAAAAACGGAGATGGTAAATTTACCATCTGATGAATTTGGCATCAACCATCCTAATTAATAAACACCCAGATATTCATTTTATTTTTCCATCCATGCCAGACGGACTCCAAACTCAACCAATTGGATGACCCTGTATGACTAAAATACCTCATTGGTATGGAATGTGTTTTTACATTGTTTTCGGTGTTATAAAAGTTTTATGTTGCTGCTATACTATAAATATGCATACATGCAATAATTAATTTGCTGAATATTTTTGTTTTTATGTTTTTGAGGTTTTATCCTAGACTAATGCATAATGCAATTATTATGGGGAAGCGTATTATTATTAATAGCCTAATAAATATTTAATTATTCTGCAGAAACTACGCTGGCCTTGTGATTTTATTGCTTTCACGTTGGTTGAATCCGACTGTCGTCGTCTGACTGGTTTATTGTTGTTTTGAAGGGACAGACTTTTTTTTTTTTCCTCCAGGTAATATAAATCTTCTCTTTTCATACCGGTACTTAAAGCGGAATTAAAGCCACATTTTTAGCAATTACTAGTAGGTACAGTTTATGGCAGAAGAGACTCTGGGGAGGATTTATCAAAACTGGAGCAGCTGTGCACAGCAACCAGCTTCTCTCTTCAGTTCAGTGAAGATTTGAAATGAAAGAGAGAAGCTGATTGGTTGCCGTGCACAGGTTTTCCAGTTTTTGCCTGCTCCAGTTTTGATAAATTCCCCTCTCTGTATGTCTCTAATGTCTTACTCTCTTTCCCCGCCTATCAGTCTGTAAAAAAAAAATTGTACACTGACTGCTGCACATGCAAGTTATGCGGGAGTTACGGCATCCCTGGCCAGCCACTAGGGTGGGCTGAAGACTCTGGACCAACGAGGGGGAGTGCGGACCTCGCGTTGCTGAAGGGGAACACTTTGCTGTGCATGCTTGCACAATATGGCAACAGCCGCGGGGATCCTCAGCAGCACAGTTCTGCGTTAAAGTCGATCTCTGGGAAACCAAAAAACTTCCCTTGCAGTAGGATTGCCCCTGCACTGCAATAGTTAAATGCTTGTTGAGGCCTATGCTGTCAGGAAAAGCAGTTTTAGTCACCTGATCTCTGCTCCCCCTGCCATAGGGCTCACCTAGTCTCCCCTACGCTCCAGCTTGTCACTCGGTGTCCTCTTGTATAGTGCAGGGCTATGGACACATTGGGGGGAATTCATCAAAACTGGAGCAGAACGAATCTGGAGCAGTTGCCTGTGCTAACCAATCAGCTTCTCTCTTCAGTTTGTTCAGTTAAGATTTGAAAATGAAAGGTGGAAGCTGATTGGTTGCCATGGGGCAACTGCTCCAGATTTTGTCTGCTCCAGTTTTGATAAATTCCCCTCGCTGTATTGTCTACATTGTACTTGATGACATCATCAGTGGGTCTCCAAACACCAGAGCATAGAGGGGAAGAGGCTTCGGGTGCCGGTATTGAAGTGTGAAAGGAGCCTGCAGGAGCGGGGATAAGGTAAGTAAAACTCCTCCTTCCAGGTACACTAGACCTAAACAAGCCTTTAACCCTGCAGTGAGGGGGGAAGGGTAGGGGGCAGCCCCACTTCAAGGGAAGTTTTGCGGAGTTCAACTTTAACTTGTTAAAATATATCTGTTAAAAATAAATCAAGGCACCCGGACTTGGTGGTATTTTTCTTGATGCTTCGCTGGTCATCTGACTAGCTTTCTCAATTCAGAATGAAAGCTGGTCGGATGTCCAGTGAAACGTCTTCAAGAAAAATACAGCAAGTCCAGTTGCCTTGATTTATGACCTGGATGAGTGAGAACCTTCACAGACATATTTAGTTTAAAACTGAAGTAATCATTGAGGCTCCCAAAAAAATGTAAGATGATCAGTATGGTGAATGGCATGCTTGAATCTTGCTGGGCAGTGCAGGGGGGTCTTTGCTTAAAGTGAGCCATGCCATTCCTCCTGCTATCCCATCTAACAGACACTCTACATAGAGGCTTCTGTAAGCTCTTTATTGCCCCGTCTCTCCTTTCACAGGTCTTCAGCCTAGACAGCAGCTGTGAAAACTCTGTGTAAAAAGTGTACTTTCCCTTCAGGTGTCGGATCTGCAAAGCCTGTGTACAGTAAATCTGCCAGAATACAATCCCGCCTGTTCTTATGAAATTCTTTTTTTTTAATATACTATTTCTATTGTGATTCTCCATAGGCCAAGAAATTAAATTACGTAGAGGAGCGAAAGCAACGTTCTCTTCCAAAAATAAGGTTTAGGGTTAGTCTGCGTAGGGTAAGGAATAAAGATCAACTGGTGTTTGTTCTACAGATTTCACTGGTGGTTCTGAAACGGAGGGTGAGATGTGCTCACATTTATAATGGAAGGGGGTGCAGAGCCCACTGCTGGCTTGTGTAATAGGGAAGTGAATCTCTGGATATGGGGAGTTAAGTGTGACTCTGAATGTGGACAGTGGAAGCTACAAGCAGTAATGATGACTGAATCTCTGGGCTTTGTTCTCCTGGTGTGACACTGCTGGCAGCCAGTCACAACTACTCCCAGTCCAAAAGTCAATCTTCTGTAAAATCCATGGGTCACCACTATTTGCAAAAAGAAAACAACATGTCCCACCTGCTAGAACATTAAAGGAGCGTCCTCCCGTTACCCTAAGCTCAGTATACTGCGAGCTACAGCTCGCGGTATACAGAGACGCCGGAGCGGATCCCGACATCGATGTCGCGATCCACCCAGCTGCGTGAGTGACAGCTGGCTCTGCCTATCTAGAGGCAGAGCCAGCTCTACCGGCCCCCTCCCCCATCCGTTCCGCCAGTCAGCGCTGGCGGAGCGGGGAGGGGGGAATCCAGCCCCTCCCCTGTCACGAAGGGGCGCCGGGTGGGAAGTCTGAAGGGGCGCCGGGTATTATTTTTTTCTCTTCATGTAGCCCTGCTTTTGGCAAGCATGGCTAAATGTAGAGCGGGGAGCCGTTTTGTACGAGTGATTTCAGCAGCTATACAGCCGCTGAAATCACTTGTATGCAGCCTGTTTGTGACTTGTCCAGCCCCCCTCCATGGTCTGCCGGCTGCCTTCTTCTGTGCCGTGGTTTTCACGGCACTGGGGTCCCCCTACTCTCCTGGGGGACCCCAGCCCATGGTAAGGCAGTTCAGGGTGGAGAGCGGGGAGCAGAGCAGAGAACCTCTGTTCATAAAGAGAGCCTGTCACCTCCTAATGCTATCACACGGGGGCGTGTTATCCCCTGTGTTATAGCAATAAAGTTAAGTGAAAAGAAATTGTAATAAAATAAATAAAAATAGAAAAAAAGTATAAATTGTAAATAATAACATAAAAACGTAGTAGAAAAATAAATAAAAATGGAATAAGAAAATAAAAAATTGATGAAAAGTAAAACGTAGAAAAAAAAAATAAAAATGGAAAACAATATTTAAAATTGATAAAAAGTAATAAGCAATCAAATGAAAACGTAGTCAAAAAAATTATAAAATAAATAAAAATTGACAAAAAAATTAATAATATAAAAACGTGATGAAATAAAAAGTATTAATAATTAATCCACACAGCCCAACCTGTATGGGGTCCCATGATTTCAACTGGTGGCCCTGCCTCCTGGGACTACACACATGCACTACCCCGGTAACTGCCAAGGCGCCGCCATTTTTTTTATGGGGGGTGGAGTGGGGGGCCCTTCATGGTTTCTAGTTACGCCTCTGGTCAGCCCCTCTACAACCACCACTAGCTGCACTGCAAGGAGTAGCGTCTTCAGGCAGCACAGAGCCATAACACAACTGTTAGATTGGTGCAGCAGGGGAGCTGTGTCAAAGTGGCTCCATATACGCAACTTTTCTGTAGCCAATGTACAGTGTATGATTATTACTCACATCAGCCAGGTGCAATTAGAAAATTCCGATACATATGGTGAGACGTTTGTGGCCACCTGACCATAGCACCTTATATGAACTTGTTGGAGATCTCATTCCAAAGCCGTGGGCATTAATATGAAATTGCCCCTTTTGCAACTTTAGCTGCTTCCAATCTTCTAGGAAGGCTTTCCACAAGATTTTAGAGTTTGTCTATTAGAATTTGTGCCCATTCAGCCACAAAAAAAGCATTTGTGAGGTCAGTGTACTGATGGTGATTGAGAAGACCTGTCTCGCAATCAGCGTACCATTTAAGCCCAGTGGTGTTCAGTAGGGTTGAGATCGGGAGGTCTGCGATGGCCACGTGAGTTCTGCACAACTAACTTCTCCAGCCATGTCCTTTATGGAGCTAGTTTTGTGCAACTCAACTCAAGCCATGGAGGCGTCTCTACAAACCTTTGGCCATATAGTATATTTCCAGGCAGTAATCAGTAAAATGCTAATGGAATCCAGAACATGCAACTAAATGTTCACTTGTTTTACCTTAATCTGCATTTTCTGCAGCCATTGCTGTCTGATTCAGAAAGCTGTTAGGCAGGACTCCAGCTGCTTGTGGGAGCAAGTTGGTGTGCAATGTGCAAAACTGGGCAGAACTTGAGAATACCTGGTCTGCATATTCACAGGCTCAGGAACCACTGACAACAGTCATTGTAAGGAGACTGGCCTAGTGCTTCGCAGCTATGCCTGGAAGCAACAGAGAAGCTTTGGGCAGGTAGGCTGTGCCTCCTGGTAATCCTCTGGAAGGAGCCATGCCAAGGGTTGGCGGCTCCCAAGTCAGCAAGAACGAGGAGGATATGCCAGCTGATCCATTTGGCATACCAATAGGAAGGATTAAAGGTCCGTTTCCACTGTTCCGGTTTTCCTACATTTTGGAGGAATACCAAACCGCAAGGGAGTGGGTAGTCTTGGATCAACATGTAGTTTTAGATGCAACAAACAAATCACAACTCTAGTTAAAGCCTTTTAGAAAATTACAGCAACAGTTTTTATTCTTATGTTTGAAAGTGTTACACCATATGAGTAAAAGTTCACCATTGTGATCACCCCTGGCATTGTTATTTGGTTTGTTCCAAGCCCTGGAAGTGTCAACTGCCTTTGTTGGACAGCTTGGCCTGCATGCAAAGGTGAAAACAATATCAATTAAAGTGACATTAAACCCTCAGATTTTTTAACATAAACCAATACTGTAATGTGCGCCTTACTGTAATCCATGGTAGTTTCCCTTCTCTTTGCTGCTCTTCCTTTTAAATCCTAATGTCTTCTTATGCTGGGGGAGAACTTCCCTTTGCAGCTGAGTGCCTCTTCCTGTAGTGCTGGCTCAGGTTGTGAACTTGCACACAGACACCATGTATCCATTTCCCAGCATGAGAACAGATACAGATTAGACGGAGGAGGAGCAGCAAAGAGAATGGAAACAACCATGGATTACAGTAAGGCGCACATTACAGTATTGTTTTATGTTACAAAATCTGAGGGTTTAATGTCACTTTAAGTTATAAACTAAAAGATAAACTCATTACCCCCATACAGCTACCCGAATACAAGGTTTTGTTTGCTGTGGCGGGCCTTTAGACATTAGCCCAATCCAACAGTTTGCCCTTCCACACCCGAGCCAACACTCCCTGAGCCTGCTCTGAGCAGATCTACCGGGATGGGTTTTTTTTTTGGCCGAGCGCTATTTTTTTCCCCTGAGACAGGATGCACAAACATGACGGGTGATGGCAAAAAGAGAAAGCTCCGTGTAATCTGCAAGTCATCATATGATTATATGGTGGCAAAAGACTTTCTCCGCCTTCATTCAGCCCATCCTCCCTGTACCTTAGGTGACGTTGTTCTTTAAGTACCCCTCCCCCCTTTTCTGAATGTAGTCTACTTGGTAAAATACTTATCTTCCAACCTGTTCCAGCAATCTTCATTGTGTGGCCCTTCCAGGAGCCAAACAGCCTTTGATAGGAAATTGTCCCAGCCAGGTCCCCTTCCTACTGCAGATGCTGACCAGTAGACCACTGACCAGATCTGGTCCGGCAAATAGTGTGAACCGGCTCACAGTTCCAGTGCATTCCAGACCAGACAAAATGAGACCTGCAGTATTTTTCTGGTCTGGTCTAGAACGGACTGCGCTGGTGTGAACAGAGGCCAGAAATAGCATAGGGATGTATCGGGATGCAGTTTGGGTCCGGAAACAATCTGGCCTGGAGATGATCTGGATGTGGTGTGAATGGGCCCTCAAAGGGCTGAGACACATCTGCACGCTGGGAAGAGAAGCTCCCCAGGATTTTTTCCCTTGCAACGGCTGTGCAACACCGGGCAGAACTCCACAGTGAAGAACGCTGGATCAGGCAGTGGGGACACCTTATAGGACAACTGCACTAAAGGTTGTCATTGAAGGACTATGTTCAGTCTGAGGTCTGGGTTGTGTCTAGGGGTTTATCTGAGGTTTATTATTCTGGGTTAACAATGAGGGCCCATTCACACCCTTCATTGTGCTTATAATGCACGCACAAAAATCAGACCTGATGCATATTAAGCAGCGCAGTGCACCGCAACACATGATAGTGTATTACCACACGTTGCGGTGCTCTGCAGTGCCGGTGCATTGGGTTGCCATTCGCAGTACCGCAGTGATGTGCATGGACACCAAGTCATTTTTAGATTTCTAAGACTAAATCGTTTTGTTTGGAAATTTCCTGCGAGCCGCTACGCAAAGCTCGCCGAATTTAATTGTGCCAACAGCGAACGCCCTCGCCTTATAGAGTACATTGTACGCCCCCTCACAACTGTCCCACCAGAGAAGAGCTCTAGATTCCGGGCGCTCCATCTTAATTATAGCGTGCATCCAAGGTGCTTCTCTTTAACCCCCTCCTGTGCGTCCGCTGCTCTCCGAACGGGCCCGCTCCGCCAGCTGCGATCTGCAGAAGGCAGAATGAAGCCATCGGCGCTCAGGAGAAGTCATATTGATCCTTTCTATTCTTTTGCTGAGGATATCAGTTTAACATGTTCAATGGATTAGCATGTTTTAACCTTTCACCTCTGTCTAGACACCATTCACCGTGCGTTGTCCCTTTCTATGGAGGGAATGGAGCCCCCGCGGTCTGTCAGGCTGGACGCTGGAGCCGGGCCTTGCTTCCAGGAACAGATGGTGGGGTTGTTGTTTTTCTTTTTTTTTTTTTCCAAAGAGCCACCGGCACCTCCAGCCTGGCTCTCTGGCTCCGTCAGACCGACCCAGTAAATAATTAAAGATGCAATTTCCTCTTATCTTTCCAGTAAAGTATATCTTTACATTCCTGTCACTGAGCGATGCCACGAGCTGCCCTTGCTCGCCTCCCGAATGCTTGACCAACCCTTCAGTGGGCAGAGGGGAGGATGAGAACTGGGTGGCATCAAAATGTCCTTGTCAACAGGGAGAGAATAGGAACAGCTGCTTTGCTGGGGGCCAGTGAGTGGTCATGCTATGCTGGTCTTTGTTTCGTCTTGCATTATTGTGTGTGTGTGTGTGTGTGTACTCTAAATAAATATACTATTGCAAGTGTTTTATTATATATGTGCAATATATATACATATATATCTGTTGGTCCTCAAAACTTCCTGTAGACAGCACAGTACCTCTGCCGTACTTATCAGCCCTGATCTGTGTGGACTACAGAACACCACTACCACTAACGTACGTCCTGTACTGTGGTGACCACACTGCTCCTCCATAGGTACAGTAGGTGAGTGTTGTCATCCTAGGACAGGAAGTGTGTTACTGGCAGGATAAAAATGAAGAAGGATGACGAATGCAGCCGATACATCTAAGGATTGGTAAGTTGCAATGTGTTACATTTTTATTCTTGGGTTTAGATGCACTTAAAGCTAAAGCGTTCCACGTGACAGCACTGGGCCAATCAGTGGAGCCTTATCTTCTAAAGGGCTTTGCTTTCGGTGGGCGGGAGGTGGGGAGACGACGGGAAGGTAAGTTCATGCTGCTGGGGAGGGTGACCCTGTTGCTTTGCTCTGCATGACCGAAGTGCAAATCCACTTATAAGGCACCAATAAACATATAATGGCAATCGCCCAATCCTGCCGAGTGATCTCACATTGACGCTCGCTGGCTGAATGCTCCCAGGAACCTTTACTATATGTTGTCCAATTACAATGTGTTTGCCCTGATCATACTTACTAACATAATGGTCCCGGATCCCAGGACCCTGTGAACCCCGCCCACGGTGTGCATTTTGTCATCCCGCTTTCTGGATGGGTTTGCCCAAATCCCACCCACTTTGTAGGTTGGTCCCTCTGAGACCCTGCCCCTAATTATGCCCATCATGTCCATTTTACGGGTCTGTTCCACACAGACCCTGCCTCTAAATATGCGTGGACAGCCCTTCAGGATAGGGTTACCACCTGTCCATGATGCACCCGGACAGTCCGGGTTTTGAATGCTGTGTTCGGGCTTCATGGCAGCTGAAACCCGGACACAAGGTGTCAGGCAGACAGGGGCAACCAGAATTAAGATAGGGGCTACTGCCCCCCCCCCCACTAAAAATAGGCTTGGCTGTGATATTTACATATAAATGGGTGGTGCTATTTACATATGAATATACCACGTAGGGTTGTCACCTTTCTGGGATTTACCCGGACAGTCAGTTTTCAGCTGACACCCAGACACAAGACACCAAGTGCACTAAATTGTTTGACAGATGTGGCTGCCTGAGGGCCCGTGCTTGCTGGGGACCTCGGCAGCCTTCCTTTGAGCTGCAGGCGCCTGCCCACACATCTCCTCCTCCTCCATCTTCCTGACGCCCCGCTGCCCAGCTCTGAACCCCTGGTGAGACCCCGCACAACACTCCTGAAAGTCTGCATAGCCCACGTAAGATCCAACACAGTCACCTGAGAGCCCGCGGAGTCCACCTGAGAGCTCGCACAGCCCTGGTGACATCAGAGCACCACCCCGGAACAACACAGAGTGTGTAGCTTCATATTATTTTGTATTGCTGTATAATGTATTGCTGGGATTTGTAGTCCTCTATAGCCGGTCTCCTTACTCCCTCCCATGGTTGTCTCTACTTGTTCTTTCCTGCCTCTCCTCTATATTCTCCCCCCCAAAAAAATGACGCGCACGGTGCTAGAGTGTTCGGGTTTCACTTGAACAAAAGGTGGCAACCCTAGTTCAGGCCCACTTGGCTCTGGACAGACCCCGCCTTTAAAAAAAGGAAGGAACCACCCACCGCCGGGCCCCTATCCCCACAATTAATGCCTTCTTTAGTTACTGGGCATGCACACTAACTCAGGGTTGATGATGTCATCCTGGAACATGGCTTGGGACACAGCATCGGCAGGACAGAGGGCCAAGATAGGGGACTGGAAAAAACTGGGGCAGTTGGCA